GTTTCAGCTTATTTTATTTATCCTTTTTTTTTTTTGTTCATACGTACAGAAAAACAGAACAGACAGCTTCACACAGAAACCCATAACAGCTCATTTATACCACTGCTAGACAGAAAAATATTTATTCAATGATGTTATCCATCCAGAAAAAGATGGAATCATGTTTTTGTCACTCACAGTTTGCTGAGGATGAGTCTTTTCTTCTCGTCTCAGAAGAAGAAATGCTTGATATTATATATTTTTTTCCACTATGCAGACATTGTTCAGCTCGTTTTTTGCAGGTTATCGCTCCCAGTATATGTACATAGTTTTATCAGCTGGTAACAATTTGCTCTTATTTTGCAGATGTCTCCAGTTTTGTTAAATTACAAATAATATCTAATAAAAGCATTAATTTACAGAGTAACTTTAAAAAAAAAATTTGTCTAAAATGTTAATCATGTGTACGTCAAACATCTGTACGATTACACATCAAATACCTTTTTTAAGGTGTGTTGTGTTATATGGTACTTGTTGCTGCAACTCTGCAATTTCCCTTATAATATCAAAAAAGTAAGTTTTTGAAAAGTTTTTATTTGTCATTTTGTGAACAATTAACTGTAAAGTAGTTTTCTCTCTTTTTGGTACATTCCAGATAATGTCATTTACATGTTAAAATTAAAAAATGAAAGATACTGTCTTCATAAAAAATCTGCATTTATTCACATGATAATTCTTTTCTTGTTTGTTTGCTTTTTTATTATTCTTTTTTCTTCTTCTTCTTCTTCTTTTTTTTTTTAACAATGTTTGACCATAAAATTACACTTTAAACTTTAAAAAAACCAAGAAATCTGCAAAAACAATTTTTATCTTTTAGATATTGCCAGTGCTGATTTTACCTGTTGTAATCTGTAATTGAACCAAACAAAAAATATGTGAAGTGATGTTTAAATAACAAAAAAATAAAACTGTCTAAAAATACCTATTTTAGATGAGGGCATTCCTTACAGTTTTGGACTATTGTTTTTATGGTTAATGTGTAAACTTCTAACTTTTTCTGGGATTTAACTGAATATCTGTAATTTACACGAACACAGAGCAATGCACACTGATACACTGATGTGTAATTTAAACAGCGAAAATCTGTAAAATGACAGTTTATTACATATAACATCTTGTTTCTAAAGAGTCGTGTGACACCACAAGATGCAGGAGAGAGAGGTAGTGTTTGAATTCATAGAAATGTTAGTGTGCGACTAAGATCAGTTTCTATTGTTTGGCCTGTTTAGTGATATAATAGCATTTGATGATGGTGTGACTGTCGACTGGCTTTATATTTTTAAACAGCCAAAACCAAAAATGTGTGCAAAAAATGTAAGACCAAATCAATTTGGAAAACAAAAATACTAAGAAGACAGGATAACATCTTGTAAAATGAACTTTAATCTTCTATTAACCGTATTTTACTGCCTGCGAGGAGATGAAACCAGTCAGGGTCGAAGCTTCTTGGAAAAACGATAAACGACTGTAACCGGGTGTTTTTCAGTGTTCTTCAGTAAGCAGTGTGTGTCTCAGCTTTCCTCAGACTAAACATGAAGCCTTAAAACTGAAAAACATACACAACAAAACTGTAATAATGGAGAAAAACTCGACTCCTGGATTGAAACCAGGTGTTTCTCTTCTTCCAGCGAAACATTTTGACAGAGTTCATGACAAATAAACACACGCGAACTTCGCTTCAATAAATGACTGGGTTTCTTCTGTCTAATCAAAGCTCTGAGTCGGTTTTCTTTTCACAGAATGATTAAACCTAAAATAGACTTTTCTTTGGGAATGATTGTCCTCCTTGGACAATAATTAGTTCTCTGCAAACTTTCAGCAGCAGAAACACTGAGGCGGCATTGAATGAGATGTCGAACAATCTGAGTTTATTAAGTTTAAAGATTGTTGTAGCAGTTTCGCACAGAATCCAAGGACACGAGCAGATAGAGGACAAGGACAGCAGAAATGAAATGAGTTCATCTCAAACTGGGCCTCAGTGTGCTGCTCGCTGTGTCCACATGCTGCTCAAATGTATTTATAGGTTTGCAAACCTCAACAGCTTCCTTCACATTCTCCATCCATTCATTGTTCCATGAGCTGAGTCTGGTTCACAGCAGGTTTAAAACACCCTTACACAGCGAGGCTTCTTTAATTATCGCATTCTCTTTGTGGTGGTTTTGCTTGTTGTTGCAGTCACTTTGTGTCCCCTTGTGGTGGTTTTGCGTCTTTGTGGTAATTTTTTTTGTCTCCTTTTGGTCATTTTGGAGTACAAGTCGTTTTGGGACTCTTTGTGGTAGTTTTGTGTCCCTTTGTAACCATTTTGCATCTCTTTGTTTTGGTTTTTATGTCCTTTTTGGTGGTGGTTCTGCATCTGTGTTGTCATTTCATGTCTCTTTGTGTTTCTTTTCCATCTCTTCATGGTGGTTTTGTGTCCACTGGTGATGGTTTTGCGACTGTTTGTAGCCGTTTTTGCATCTCTTTGTTGTGGATTTGTGTTTCTTTTGGTGGTTTTGTGTCTCTTTGTATTCATTTGGTGCCTTTTCGTAGTCATTTTGCGTCTTTTATCGCAGCGGTCCCCAACCACTGGGCTGTGGACTGGTACTGGGCCATGGGTCATTTGGTACCGGGCCACACAGAGTGAATAAAAACGTTTCATTGGTTTATTCTATTTCTGGCGGAGTCTGCAAGGTGTTTTATTTTGAAAAATGACTAGATCGTCTCCGTCACGTCCATCTGTGCTTGTTTCCTGCACTTGACTGTAAGTTTTCATGGCCGGCTGTTAAACGAAGCTGTCAGTCTAACTGCTGCCAAAATGAATAAAATAAACTAACTTGTCTGGGGAGCTTCTTTGAAAAAAGGGAGAGACTTGATGCTGAGAGAGAAAGAAAAATAAATACATATTTAGCAATGAAAAGTCATTTTATTTGTTTATGACACTTTTTTATTTGAAAAAACTATTATGTTATGTGTGCAATGACCGGTCCATAGAAAATTGTCTTGCTTGAAACTGGTCCGTGGTGCAGGAAAGGTCGGGTATCACGGTGTATAACTGTATGATATATTTAAAACATGATGGAACACCATCACATGAAATACTACCTAAAGTGTGACTGTTGCACAGACAGGACGGCCTGAAGTTTTAAAACCAATCAACAGTTTAAACTCTGAGTCAAACACACATAAAATCTAAACTGATTCTTTGTGAAGTGATAATTGTGTTATTTTAAATGGATTTGAGATCAATTGGCTGTTCAGTCATAGCAGACATTCTGATTGGGCCTTTCTGGAAAACTATTTAGTTTACTTCATCTTAATTTATATTGTACCTTTACAACACAAGTCACGTCAGGACACTTCACATCTCACACACTATTATATTACACAGAAAACTCAACACATCCAATGATTTCTGCTCAGCTTCTGGAAGTACACTGTCAAAAATATGTTTTCAACAGTTTTTAACTGTATTTTTTTGAACAACTTACGGTTATTTTATATTGTTTCCCTTTTTTTCTCATTACATTATAGATAATTACTACTAAAATCACAGAATTTAATTTTTTTTTTTACATGTTGACTGTTGAAAATACAAAAAACAAAAACAAACAGGCCTACACTGTAAATAATGTCCACATCAAAAATCTGTATGATTCTTAGTATTTCACTCTTTAACAATGTGTGACCATAAATTTGCACTGTTTACTATATTTAAATCTGCTAGAAATCTTTTTTTTTTTAACAGATATTTTAACTTGTTAGAAAAGAAAATCATGTATATTAAATTTTTTTGTTTTTTTATTTATTTTTTTAAAACTTAAAGCAGAATATCCCCTTTTTGTTAATTTATGATCAATGCCTGGTAAAATCACAAAAAAAGTATTGATTTACATGTTATCTGCAAAAAAGCCCTGAATAAAACAAAACTGTTAATAATGTTCACATTAATATATATATAATTATGTTACAGGTATTTGCTGTTACTTTCTCAGTATTTGAAACATTAGTGTTCCACCGTTTCTGGCATTTTTACACCCGTGGTTTTTTGTTTTTTTAAATAGAGTTTTTCTAATGTTGTAGCTGAAGATGTAGCAGCTGAATGAGCCTGTTGTCAGCTGTCCAGCGGTGGTTTTAGTGATACAGACACAAGTATTTTTCACTACTGCTGGACCTCTGACCTTCGCAGGCGTCACTTTTAGTTTGTGCTTGTTAATCTGTTGATTGTGTGCGGTGCGGAGCAGCAGCTGATGTCAGTTGTGACATGTTGACGCCTGAAGTGACGCCGCTGCTGCCGTCACCGCCGGTCGCTCTGATGAAGGAAGCTCGAGAATCATTTACATGCAGTTCTGCCAGGCTGCCAGAGGTGATAGAGTGCATGCTGGAAGTTTTGCTCAAAGCAGATCCATTAGTGGGAGGCTGCAGTGGATGCTGCATTCAGGGACACAATATATGTAGGTTTGCGGTGTCCAGACTTGCGTTCAGTGTCGGATTGACTAATCGGTTACTTATCAGCTACTGTCATCTTGGTAGCTGATTCATTTTTTAGTAATTAAAAAAAAAATTCTGATAAAAGCTGTGTGAATTCTGTGGTTTCAGCTTCTTAAATGTGAATATTTTCTGGGTTCTTTCCTCCTTTATGACAGTAAACTGAACAACTTCGGACTAAAGAAGACAATAGTTGATAATACACAACTGTTAGTGTGGTTTGTTTGGAGTGTTACACATTATTTTAGCATGAATCCAAGAGAAACGACGATTAAATCTATATTTCTGGCACGCTCAAGACAACAGCTAGTAATTAATATGCTGTCTGTCTGTCTGTCTGTCTGTCCATCTGTGGTCAAGAAGAAATTGTGCTGAAACTGTAATGTTTCGGATGGAACTGAGCTACTAATGTGTTGGAGCTGATTTGTTTGGTGTTTTCCTGATAAAGACTTGCTTGATCAATGATTTTGTTAATAATGATCTTGTGTTTCTCGCAGCTGCAGGCCCAGAAGCTCCGTCTGGCCCGGAGTCAGGGTCCATACTACGGCGGCTCGCTACCCAACGTCAACCAGATCGGCAGGAACCCTCAGGACTTCCAGGTGACTGAACAACACCACGCTCTTTGTTTTTGCTTTCTGTTTTGTTCTGCTCTTACCATCTCTCACTTAATCTTCATTCTGAATCCTGATGTCTTTTGATTTGTAATTTATAGACAAGTTTAGCTCAAAATTTGTTTTTAAAGTCAGATAACCTCATTGATGGGCAACGTTACAGAGCTTCTTATAACAGTGCGTACAGCAGGTCAGACTCATCAATCTGCTGAATAGGAACGTTGTGCTGAGTCATCTCGATCTGCTCCTCTGAGTCATCAGTATTTCCCAGCAGAGCCAAACTCATTCTGTAATGGAAGTTTGTCATCAATATCAGTGTCCATTTGTCGGCCTCCTCTTCCTCCTCCTCGTCCTCCTCCTCGGTCTCTGGGTTCAGAACAAGATTAAATGAATCTGGCAGCAGGCATCGGGGTGCTTTTGGCTTCTTCCAGCCTGCTTCTTTCAGATTTTCATTTTCTTAGAAGTTGTTTTGTTGCGTCAGCTCTGTCAGGAAGCAGTTTATGGCTGATCCTTATCTGTAAGTTGTCACATGGAAGCAGGTTTACGAGCTTTTCAGTCTCTTAATTGTGGTGAGTTTTTATGCACCAATTTGAAAATTTCGTACATCTCTCTTCTGTGCTTATGAAGGTTTGAGGGCACAAAAATGCTGAAAAAAGTAAATTAAAACATATTTGTGCATTTGTGCTTCAAGGGCCTGTAACTTTAAAGATATTCGGAGTATAGAGGGTAAGATTTTGCATTGCTTCATTAAATATACAAAAGTTATTGGACATTAAAAGATCTGCTGATTCACATTAATCAAATTTGGTTGATTTTTATGGATTGACGTAGACGTTCAGATTATTGTGGAGCCTCTCAAGGCTGCATCCACACGAATGACGGGACCAATTTGTGTCACTGCCATAAGACGTCTCAGGTCTCTACAAAAACTAGTCTGAAGCTGGTCCAAAATCAGGTCTGAAACCAATAACAAGTCCAACACTAAGTCTACAACCAATCAAAAACTAAGTCTAAAGCCATTCCAATACTCAGTCCAAAACCAGTCCAAAACAAAGTCTAAACCAAGTCCAAGCCAAGTTTGAACCAAGTCTAAAGTTACGTCTACAACCAGTCCAAAACTAAATCTACAGCCAATCCAAAATTAAGTCTACAGCCAGTCTAAAACTAGGTCTACAACCAGTCCAAAACTAGTGCAAAACAAGTCCAACACAACTATAAAACCAGTTCAGACCATGTCCAAATCAAGTCTACAGCAGTCTAAAACTGATGTAAAACAATTCAAAACTAGTGAAAAGATTGTCTGAAATCAAGTCTGAAACCTGTGAAAGTCCAAAACGAGTTGAAAACTAGTTGAAAATCAGTCCAAAACAAAGTCCAAGACAAGTTCAAACCAAGTCCAACACTAAGACTAAAACCAGTCCAAGACCCAGTCTGCAACCAGTCTAATGCAAATCCAAAACCGTACAATGCTAAGTGCAAAACTCGTCTAAAACTACTCTCAGTCGGATTTCTGTGAAAATACATTGAATATGTTACTTTGGTTGTTTTTCTGTCTGTGTTGTCTAATGTTTGTCACTAATTTATACTCCACTGAGATGCATCGAAAATGTAATGCTAAATAACACAACTGTTGACTGTCTCTGTGTCTCAGGGCTCCTTTCCCTCCACTCTGGAGTCCAACCGATCGACTCGGCATCACGGTCTGGTGGAGCGAGTCCAGAGGGACCGCCGCTTCATCTCGCCAGTCCGACCATACCGCAACCGCCAAGTATCCTTCACTTGAACGTCAGGTGTCCTGGAGCTCTCAGCTCCCTTTGGTAGCTAAAAAACACCTCAGAAATATATTGCAAATTTTATATGTTTTTCTAAATAAGCAGATGGGAGAAAAAGTTGCATTTGTTGGGGACTATTTTTAGCTGTGGATGAATCCTTGTGTAATTTTCCCTATGTGATTTTAAACAACAGAGCAGCAGCTTCAAGTGTGTCTGTTTCTGTGAATCAGCCCTGCCGTGCAGACATTTTATCTTGTGTTAAACATGCTTTATGTCCTCGTGTCAATATCTGGTTTGAAGTTGCAGCAGCAACACAGCAGGCTTTTGTTCCAGAGATGCTCCAAACGTGGATCCCTCCATCCTACATTAAATGGATAATGAGGCGGCAGCAGCCTCAGTGGTGAACTTAATGCTGAGTGGAAGGATTTTTGAGCCTCGAAGAAACATCTGACAATGAAAAGTTATCCTGAGTTTCAGTCGCTGTCACTCTGATTTATTTGTTTAACGTCACTTTTGTGAAGTATATATTGATGAGGCACCACATGTCTTCTCTTGTGGCTGTTAGACAGTTCAGCTTTTTAAGGTTTACATCTACAGTGTCTTCGTTTTGTGTCTCTTTCTGGCTGTTTTGTTTCTCTTTGTGGTTGTTTTGTCTTGTGTGGTCAATTTGTCTCAACTTGTGACCGTTCTCTGTCTCTTAATGGTTGGTTTGTCTCATTTTGTGATTGTTTTGTGTCTTCTTGTGGTCATATTGTGTGTCTTTCTGACCGTGTTGCATCTGTTTGTGGTCGCTTTTTGTCTCTTTGTGGTCAGTAATTTTCCTCCTTGTGGTTGTTTTGTGTCTCTTTGTGGTTATTTGTGTCTGTGGTTGTGTGTCTTAATGGTCGTTCTGTTTCATTTTGTGGTCGTGTTGCATTTCTTTGTGGTCATTTTGTGTCTCCTTGTGGTTGCTTTGTGTGTCTTTGTGGTCGCCATGTGTCTTTTTTTTTGGGTAATTTTGTGTCTCTTTGTCGTCATTTTGCGTCTTTATGTCTCCTAATGGTTGTTTTGCATCTCCTTGGGTTCATTTTTCTCCCTGGTTGTTGTCTTTGTGTTTTTTTTACCCACTTTATTCTGAACTACTGAATTAAAAATACGCTGGAAACACAAAGACAAGCCTAACACCAAACCGTCACCAGGTTCATGTAATGGGAAGTTGTGAGCAACAACAGCAGTGAAAATGTAAAAGAAGAGAACATGTTCCTGAAACAGTTTGTTCTGTGGAGCTGCAGGAGAAAGTGTGAATGTGTGAAGGAGACTGTTGATCAGGCTGGTAAAATCTGTGGTCTGAAGTCCTGGCACAGACGTGGTGTTGGGTTTATTTAGCTCTTACTTTTGAAAATTTCACCGGATTTCAGTGAGAAGAGGGAAAATGAGAAATTCAGAATCATAGTGAAACCAGCAGCCGTCAGTCCTGTTCAGCTGTAAACAAGAAGTTTTGATGAATGTGTTTGTCTCCTTAACCGGCTGCCTCCTCAGGTGGACAACTCTCTGTACAACTCGGCCTACCTGTCGCCACCGCCCGACCCCAGCTGGAGAAGGTCTGTTCGCCTCCCTGCTGCCTGTCTCCATGGAGACAGGGCTGTCCATAGGGATGCCTGTTTGTTCATTTCCAGAGTATCTTGTTTGAGTCTCCTGCTGCTGCCAAGAGCTTCTGAAGCCTCTGTGTCACCTCAGACGTTCAAAGTCAGGTTTATTTATACAGAGCCTCAGATCAGAGGATGAACTTGTTGATAACCGGCTGCGTACAGGAAACTTGCTGAGAGTCTAGATAGATAGATAGATAGATAGATAGATAGATAGATACTTTATTAATCCCCTAGGGGAAATTCAGGTATGTCTGACGCACAGGTACAGATAAGAGGAGTCTAAAAACGTTCCTCTATTCCTGCCTCTGACTGGCACCATACTCTATATTTTAAAAGCTCCTACTGGGGCTAATCAGAGGGGGAACAAATCTACCTCTTAGGGTGAAAAATAAAGGTTTTATGGTCGGGGGAGTATCGGAATAAAAAAACAAACAACTGATTTTTTGACCAAATTTGCATACTATATATTTATAACTGGTTTGTATTGTTCTATTCAGTGCAGGGTTGAACCATTGAAGACCAGATGCACTTATCAATGAGCCTGCAAAATTTCAGAATTCAAATTGTGGCACTTGCTCCTCAGATTGGAGGTAAAGAAAACGCTGCAAAAATCGTCTTGACTCCGCCTTCTTTAAGAATTTTAGAACTCAAAAACCAATGTTGCCTATGAATCCAAATTTTACACATGGTCAACTCAACCAATATTCACCACTTTAAAAAAAAAACATCTGTCAAATTGAGTCCGTGAATTCATGCGGAATGATCCTATCATGTAACATCATAGGAATGTTTCATAGATTCTTTACTGTGTTCACTCAACAACATCATCAAAACCACAATGTTTCCCCTTTTGTGAATACGTCACATGATAGTAGCATTTTATAAAAGTCATGTAAGGCCTCAGTAACATCTTGGGAAAAAAAGATTTGAATGCTGCTTTAAAAACTTTTTTCCTTTTGTTATTTAAAGAAAATAAATTAAACAATAACATTAAAATAGTGGAGAAAATCTGGCAGCAACGAAGCTAGGGAAAAATATGTTTAAAAAAAATGGTGGAATACTGTAATGTTCAAAAACTGGGAAAGTAATGTCATATTTGTAAAATAACTTTTCCTGATTTAAATACACTAAAATAGTGTCATATTTCGCATTATAAAAAATTAATTATAGAAATACAGATTTTTGATGGGAATAAAAAATTCTCATCAATCGAAATTCTTTTGGCCACTTTTTTTTTTTTTTTTTACTTAATATTATCTGTAATTAACAAAATAGGGAAAAATCTGTAAAATACCTGTTGCTTAAAAACAAAAAAAAGTTACATTTAAAATAGTTTTTCCAATGTGATTATTGTAGCCCACATTTTATTTCTATTTTAACATACTAAATTGTGGCCTATATGTGGCTTTCTAGAGTGTCAAGAACGCTTTGTTTGGTATCGACTGTATTTAACCTGCAGCGTCCTAAAAGGCAGCGTCAGAATCCAGTTAAAACAGAGCAAGATCTCTGCTGCTGAAGTGTCCTTGAGCAAGGACCGACCTCCCAGCAGCCTCGCGGTGTCTTTCTGACTAAATTAGAACCACATGAGGCGACACCGACGCGTCACAAAGGTCTTGGTTGATCCTCCAACTAACCTCCTGAAAAACTAGCATGAAGCCGAGCTGGCTTCAGCCGGTGTCTCTGCAAACCTGAGCGGGTTTGAAAAGCTGTCACGTCTTGTTTCTCTTTCCCTGCTCCTTCTTATGGGAATCTGCCTCTTCTTTTATTTTATTTTCTTGGCTTTCTCATGTGTTTTCTGCCAGTCGCTTTCATTTTTGCCTGCTGGAGCTCTTTGTGGTTTCCTTCTAACAAGACAAAAGCGGCCCTTCAGAGAGAGCCTGGCCTCGATCCACAGCTCAAAACACACACACTGAGGCTGGCAGATGACCTCCAGCTGTTTCCTAAATAAATCTATCGCTCTCACTTTGTCAGGTCGCTGACCGACAACAGATCTTTCTGCTGTTAGAGACATAAACCCAGCCTGCACTCTAAGTTTGTTTTATCAGCAGCAGAGTTCTGGGTTTTTTGGTTGTTTTTTTTTTTAAATCAGGAAGTGTTTATCTGTCCAGTTGTGTTTGCATCTGCACTCTTCTTCTGTGCTGCTGAAGGTTATAAATCTGAATTTTCAAACAAAACGTAGTGACCCGCAGATACAGTTTCTGCTCCAGCAGAGCCCCCACTCTGTCCTATTATTAAAAATCAAACTAAGTCAAATTTATAAACTATTACATGTAAAGGTAAATGCATTAAAGGCAACAGAAAATGTAAGTAAAACACAAAAATAGCTTAAATAAATCTTTAAAAAAGACAAAGCCAGAATAAATACCATTGGTAAAAATAACAACAAATATCTATAAAAGAAATATATTTTTGGCTGAATTAAATACAATAATACAATGTAACTTTATGGTCTCGCATTATAATTTATCATGATGTTGGCAGTATTTACAGTTTTGGCTTGTTCTGTAGGTTTTACAATAAAAATAGAAATGAATGCTTTTTTTTTGGTGTGATTTTACTCAATATTATTTGTAATTTAAACTGAAGCTGTGAAAAACTGTAAAACAACAGTTAAAAACAAATTTTGCAATTTCTTATATCTTATTATACATATTATAGTCAAACATAAAAGAAAAAAAAAATACTGATTTTTTTTATGTAGATGCTACTTACAGTTTTGGTCTGGTTTTTTTGCAGTCAACATGACAATTATTAATAATGTAATATAATAAATAATACATATTGTCTGTTATTTAGCAAAACAGGGAAAACCTGTAAAATAACAGTAAATTGTTTACAAAGAAAAAAAACAACATTTTATTAAAACAGTGGTGAAAACCTAGCAGTGCCAGAAAAAGTATGTAAAAAATGGTGGAATCCTGTAACGTTCTAAAACTGTAAAAACTATCAAAGTATCGGCAAATGCAATGTAGATACATAGATACAATAGAACATTGTACTTTTGAAGTCACACACTGTAAAAGGACGAATTGCCATTTATAAAAGTATTGATTTTTGATGCAAACATTTTTTCCCCATTTTGTTTTTGTTTTGTTTGTTATTTATTTTTACAGTAAACATGTAAATGAATACTTTTTTGTGATTTTACTTGATATCTGTAATTATACCTGTAAAACAGGTAAAATCTTTAAAATATCAGTAAATTGTTTCAAACAAGGGCTGCAAGGTGGCTCGGTGATTAGCACCGCAAGAAGGTCGCCGGTTTGCGTCCCAGTGAGGACACCCAGGATCTTTCTGCGTGGAGTTTGCATGTTCTCCCCGTGCAGCGTGGGTTCTCTCCGGCTTCTAGCTTCCTCCCACAGTTTAAAAACATGTTGAGGTTAATTGGTGATTCCAAATTGTACTTGGTTGTCTGTAGCCCTGTGATGGACTGGCGACCTGTCCAGGATGTCCCCTGCCTTCACCCTAAGTCAGCTGGGACAGACTCCAGCCCCCCATGACCCTAGTGAGGATTAAGTGGTGTACAGACAATGGATGGATATTTCAAACAAATTACAGTCAAAGACTTATGTTTTTTTTTTACAGTCCATAGTCCTAAACATGCACACTGGCTGATCATCAAATATTGATCTTTTGATATAAACGTGGCATCAGGCCTCCCTCTGCCCTTCGCTCGTTGCCTTCCTCCATCTTCCTCGGCTTGCTTTCAGAGCCCATGCTCTACTTCTTCGTCTTGCGTTCCCATTTTTGCCTTCTTTCCAATGTTTTCCCGTCCGCCGGTGGAGAATAACTTTATGTTCTTGTCGATCACTGAAAGGAATTGGTCTGGAAACTTCCCCGGGGACAAAAGCCAGTTGTTTCGTCTCCCCACCACTGCACTTAACAGGTGAACCGTCCTCATCCTCCTTTTCTTCTACCTCCCTTTACTTTCTTCTTCTTCTACTCCTGCCGCCGTGGGAGCCAGTCCTACAGAGAATTAAAATGTCTGGGTGAAATCAGGTTTTCTTTGCATCATTTTTTGAATCAACACTCCTTTCCTACACTTTTTAAAATCCTTCCTTCCTTCCTCCCATGTCTCACCTTTTCACTTTCATTTCCCTTAACCTGCTGTTTTACATTATTCTCTAGTGTTGGTTTTCTCTCTTTTATGCTTGAATGCATCTTCACAAACCAACACTTACTGAAAGTAAATTCAGCAGTTCTTTCTTATCTTTTAACTACCTGAACCCTGTTTCTGTCTCATTTTTCTTTACTGTGGGCTCATTTTTCACTGCAGTAGAAACTCCTGTACCTCTTACATTTTCTTACATTATTTATTTACCAAAAATGTCCACAGCTGTTATCAACACTGGAAAAAATGGAGACTTGTATCGATATTTAACAACATCCATTTTTAGAACTTCTATAGATTCTGAGTTTGTCATTTCCTGTCAGTTTGAGACAGTTTGGCTCTTTGTGGTTATTTTATCCTCTTTATTGTTTTTTTGTCTCCTTCCCATCATTTTGTGTCATGTTTTTGTTGATTATAATTATTTTGTGTCTCGTTTTGTTTGTTTCGCTTCTCCCTTTTGTTGTTTTGTGTCTCTTTGATGTCCTTTTGTCTCCACACACTATACATATTTAACTGTTTTCATTTTTCACAGCCTCTACTAACTTTAGCACTCTACTCCACACATCAGCTCTAGAAAGATGTTTCACCATGCTGAATGTATCTTCCAACAACTTTCTCCTCTGAATACCGTTTTTAAGCCATGCTGCATTTATTTTATCGATCCAGTATGTTTTATTTTCCTCTCTGCTCTGTGGAAACACGGCCTCTAGTTCACCTGAAAAAGTTGTTGCTGCTCACATCCGAGTCAGTCTTGGTGAATCATGGTTTTTTTTACAGAGTCTGGTTATTGCCACTGCTTTATTTTTTTTAATATATTTTTTTAAATTAATCATGTAGACTAAAGAAATTTTGATGAAATTTCCAGATTTTAAGCTCAGATTTGGATCTGTGTGTCACAAACAAACATTCAAGGACCATCTGAAAGCTGAAATCTTTGTGATTCTTTCTGGGGTTTTTTTGTCTGTTTTCTTTACACAGTTTCTGTCTGATAAATTTAGATTTTTAATTTTTTAATTTTTTTAAACAAAGCAAGGCTGTCAGACCTGTGGGGTTTAGAGGGTTAACGCTACAGTGTTTTCGGAGTGGGTTCGTAGCTGTAGTTGAAAATAAAAGTTGCCTTCGGTGTTTATTGGCATTAAATAAGATGCTGACTGTTCTCTAATCTGAACCGACCTCCTTGGACCATCTGGGGAAAGTTAACTGGTTAGATGAAACAAACACTGTTGTCAGTTGTGTTGCGGATCCAAGACTCAGATGACTTTCTTCAGCCTTTGCCGGCTCTTTCCGTTAACACTGTGCGTGTCTGTGGCCCCCCCCAGGACCAACTCCGACTCAGCCCTCCACACCAGCGTGATGAACCCTCCCGCAGGAGACCCCTTCACCACGGGAGGACCCACCCTCACCCCCCAGAGCTCTAGACACACCGGTGAGGCAGCTCGATGAAACACAAACACCCACAGCTGACTGCACAAAACCCACTCAGAAACACAACACAGGGAACATGAATGAGTACAAGTTTGACAACCAGCATCAGGAGATAAGAAATGATGGGACACACTGAGATTAAAGATGTGGTAACTTGAAAGCCTTCTGCATCAGCTCTGATTGTATTTTAGGCCAACAAAATGCAGCCCCTATTAAAGAACCACTCAAACTAATTCACTGATTTCTAAACAAGGGGCGCAACTAAACCATTTTCTCTGTGGGTTGTTTGGTCTCTAAAATGTCAGAAAATGGTGAAAAATATGCATCAGAAACCAGAATATATTAACATTTAAGAAGCTGCAATGACAGAATTTAGAGTATTTTTATTTTAAAAAATTACTCAAACTGATTATTTGATAAAGCTCCACTTTGACTCATTACTTAGCTGCGATCAGCTGATCATTTTGTTTACTCCGTTCTACTATTTTTACACTCAACTGAACCTCCAACTGAACATCACATGAAAACCAATCTGACAGAAATTCATGGAAAGATCTGAAATCTGCTGAATAAATGTTCAAATCAGAACCTTTTCAAATGGAGATTGGCTTGATAAAAGTTCATTCTAGGGCTGAGAAAGAAAAAAAAACAGAAAAATTACTCGAAGACGGACAAATCTGCTGCAATAAAAATGATCTTTTAAAAGAAAGCATTATTATCTGAACTGAACTTAGGTTTAATTTCCGTCGCTCTGCACTTTTTATATTGACTTAAGATGAGCCTTGATGACTCTGGAAAAAGCAAATGTTATTTAATTTGTTGATTTATTTGATTGTTTGTTGATGGACGTGTGTTCCACTTCCTTGGGCAATCTTTTAAATTCATAACAGACCAAAAGCAAGCTAATAAACACACACACACACACACACACACACACACACACACACAAATTTTATTTAACTGTTTAATTGAAGTTACAGACAACTTGTTGTCTGTAGATGGAAGAACGTTCTGACGCAGGAAAAGCCCCTGCATTAATCAACAGCTGTTTCAATCTGTAGCTGTTATTCAGAAGCTGTTATTCAACCGTCTGTCTCGTTTAAAAATGAGAAGCAGCAGTTGAGCTTGTTCTGTATGTGAAAAGGGTTTGTGTTAGAGTTTGACTAGAGGAGAGTCTCTCATCTGATGTGACCTCTTCAAACCTCAATAACAGAAGTGAAAGCTGAGTTATGTCTGACTGATCGGCTCCTCAGGATAAAGATCTGAGTATAGAAAAAGGTTTTCCTTGTGCTGCCAGCAGAATCAGGATGTTCTAGATGTAAACTGAAGCCGATGTTTCTGTCTGAGTGAATCTGTTGTGTCTTTCTGTCTGTTTCTGTGATGCTGCAGGTCAGAGCGACGGAGAGGCCAGAAGAAGTGAGTTAAACACGAACACATTCACACATTTTTACAGATTTTCAAAGATCTAACATTGTATTTACAGCAGATGTATTTGTCTGTCATTGTGACCATCATTTTAAACCCTTTGTCTCAGTTTCCTAAACATGAATTTAGCCCAATCTTGGGCTAAAAACCTGTTTCAGTGGACATCTGCATTTCATTTCTGTTTTAGTCTCAGACTTGGCTTAATCCATGTCTGGAAAGTGATTTTTTAAAAGTTTGATAGGAACTCCTCAGTGACCATTAGAATCTGTAGAACCCTTTATGTCCCTTTCAATACCTTCTTAAGACCACTAGAACCATATGAAGCACCTCTATTCCCCTCTCAGTGACCACTAGAATCTGTAGAACCCTTTCTGTCAATTTAATACCTTCTTAATGACCACTAGAGCCACATAAAGCACCTCTGTTCTTGCAACCGTAGGACCCCTCAGTCCCCTCGGTCACTATTAGAACCTATTAGAACCCGTGGAACCTTTTTAGTGTCCTTAATGACCTCTGGGACCACATAAAACACCTCTAAGACCCCCCCAGTCCCCTTTAGAACCTGTAAAACCTCTTGAATTACCTTTTACGAGGTTCTTAATGACCACCAGAACCAGATACAACACATCCAGGACCCCCTTAGTAACCATTATAACCGGCAGAACCTTATGTTACCCATAATACCTTCTTAATGATCACCAGGACTTCATAAAGCATCTGTAGGACCCCCTCAGTCTCCATTAGAACCTGTAGAACCTTTTATGTTGCCTTTTTAATCACTACATAAAGCACATTCAGGACCCCATCAGTCACCATTCGAACCCATAGAACCCTTTTAGCTACCTTTTAATAACCACCAGAACTGCATAAAGCACCTGTAAAACATTCTCAGTCACCATTACAACCTATAGAACCTTTTCCGTCACCGTTAAGACCTTGCTAAAGCCCACGTAGGGCCCCTTCAGTGACCATTAGAACCTATCGAACCTCTTGAATGACCTTTTTTAGAGGTTCTTAATGACTGCCAGAACCACATAAATGCATGCAGCAAATATCTATTTCTACAGAATAAAATACAATGTTTTGAAAATAGTATGTGTTTGCTTTAAAAAAGACATGACTTGTGTTGGATCCTTCCACTGAAGCAGCTTTCAGGTGATTTGATCGACAAAATCCACCTGCAGCTGTCGTCAACTGATCGTCTGGTTTCCAGCAGAACACTTTGACTGTGTAAACATGGCATCTAGTCAAAATTTTAGAAGTCAGATTGTTATTCTGACCAGAGAGGGGCTTTACGAGCATCGCTGCACTGAATGTTTCTACGGGTGCAGAGCTTCTAAAACACTGGAAACGGAATCAGTCGTATCCAAAGTCTTGTTATTCTTTGTCTGTCAGTGTTTCCGTACCCGGTTCCCCCCATCGAGGAGAACGTTTTGGATGAGGGAAAGCTGCTCAAACCCTGGGACACCAAGAAGGTAACAAAATTGTTGTTATTTCTTTAATTTGCTGTAGTTTTTACTTAATCCTCATTATAAAGGCTCTGTTACACTAAAAAACTTTCACGAATTAGTGGATGTTTGTATTTATGTGTTTGTTAAGACTAGTATGTGGTAGTTAACACCATGTTTTGATTCTGTGCAATTCTCCCATAGAAATCCCAAAGTCATCCAGAGGTGTATTTATTTGCTTTGAATTAGATGATGCATTTGATGTTTAGTCTCAAAAGTTGGTGAAATGTCAAACAAAGACTGTATTTTCAGTAGAAGCTAGAGATCCGTCCATATATATACACTTGCAGGAACTTTCTGAGGCCCCAATACTACCATTGTTTGAAAATGTGCACCTTTTATTCCCCCATTTCTAAGGTTCAATAATTAAAAATGTGTACTCTGCTGGAGCCATTCAATCATTTGGATCTGCTGTAAGCCATTGTGTCTGTCTGTGTCTGTGAGACTGTACCTGTTTTGAAAAGATGTGACCTTACACCTGAAATGCTTTTTTTAAAAACTCAAAGAGAGCTATATTGTCACTAAGTCTCAGTATGATTTTAAAAATCTCTGCAGATTTTAGTTATTCAAAACAATAGCTGATTACTTTCACAGTTCGGTTTGGTTTTTCTCTCTCAGCTGCCTTTGCTGTCGTCCCGGCCGAAGTCCTGTGAAGTTCCCGGCATCAAGTGAGTAACATCTCTGAACACACACAGCATTGTATCGTAACCACTTCTTTGGTGTGGCCTGAAATTTGATTAGTTTCTTTGAAAAAGGCTCAAATCCAACGCGCCTCTCTCCTCCCTCTGGTACTTTGTGTTCCCTGTCCTGAAGTGAGACATCATAAATCATATGTTGCCTTTTTCCTTTAACCTTGGAGATCTGCAGTTGGAGGTGCTTCACTGTTATTGTGTTAAAATAAAGAAGACAGACGTTTAATTATAGAATAAATAAAGTGGCGTCAGCGTTGTTTTTGGAGAGTTTCTCTCTCATCATAAATTCTGTCATGTCCGGAAGCTGTAAACCTGTTCGGTCTCCTCTGTTAGCATCTTTACGTCCCCGGAGCAGCCGTCCACGCCAGCCCACGGCGTCCCCTCGGCCCTCAACACCGGCGGCTCGTTGCCCGACCTGTCTAGCCTCCACTTCCCGTCCCCGCTGCCCACACCGCTGGACCAGGACGAGCCCGGATACCCAGGGTCCTCCTCTCTGAGTGGGGGCAGCAGCACGGGGAACCTGGCTTCCACCCTCACCCAGCTGGGCATCAACGCCGCCAACACACCGGGAGGCAACGGCAGCTTCCACCACCCCTCACCAGGTAGGCTGCTTCAGAGGAGTCTGTGATTTATTGATTGACTAATAACTTACGATACCTATAAAATATCTTCACCCTCCTGGACGTTTTCCACTTTTATTGCTTTTCAACATTGATTTAAGGTCAATTTAATTAGGCTTTTTTAATGTGAATATCCAAAAAGACTCTTTCATGTCTAAGTTAAGTCAGATTTCTTCTAAGTAATGTCAAATCATTAAAGATATAAAATGCAAAATAAGTGACTGCATAAGTGTGACTGTTATGGCTTTTGGGTTGCACCAAGAAGCTTAGAATTTTTTGTTTGTTTTACTGAATCTGCTTAGAACACATGGTTTACTTTTGGCAAATTTATTTTTTTTTAATATATATATATATATATAATTTTGAACAAATGCTGTTAAAAAAAAATCAAACCCATGTAGGTGTTAGTTCATTTCTGTAGACATTTTTATGACATCATAGTAACAATAAAATCTACAAAATGATGACAAAATCTCCGATATAACCCCGTGTTAGGTAAACGTGTTGTGCTCTTTGTACTTATGATATCCCAGAATTAGATTTTTTTAGTTTAACAAATTAATTTTTTTCAACCATGTTAAAAAAATAATAATAATTTGCTTGTAATGAAAACTGAAAAGAAACTTTTGACCTGCACTGTAGCTTTGGATGTGTTTCCAGTAGTTTTTCTATAACTTATTACAGAAAGAAAAAGGCAGGATTTATGATGCTTAATTCACTGTTAATTCTTTGCTGTTACTGTGACATTTCTGATTTAAAAATATGTAGAAAACAATTCTCATTTCTGTGTCGTCCTTTGGAAACCGTCTCACTCGACTGACCTTTTATACTGTAGCTGTCTGTTTCTGTTTTCACTTGTGTTTTAAGGTGAGTTTCTGTTGATAAAGAGATGGCTTGTTGAGAGCGTAGTTTCTGCAGCGTTCTCCTCGGACAAACCCTGAGCTGGAAACTGTCTGTGTGGATAAAAGCCTAAGCTGAGTGACTAATGTGAAGGTTAGCAGAGGAAGTCTGTGGGTGAGAGCGGACAAGATGAAACAGAGGGGGGTGTGCTTGGCTAAATTTAACCTCAGAGCGAGCGAGGAGGGAGGATTCTTTTTCTGCAGTCGGAAAGTGTGGTGGTGTTTTATCGCTTGTGAGGCGACCGTAGGCAGGATGAGGCAGTCAGCAGGTTAAAGCTCGCCTGAACCTGAACCTGGAACGTCTTCAATTTGTCTTTATGAGGCTGTAAAGCAGGAGGATACAAGTGCTGTCACAGTTACTATAAATAATCCAGAGGAGTGTGAGGAGTCACTGTTTTACATTGTAAATTTATATGACGTTACATTTTACTGAAATCTCTTCAAAATGACTCAAAACTTGTCTAAAATGACTAAAGATTTGTGCAAAGCGAGTCCACACCTGTGAACCAAAAACTTCAGATTACTCAAGATTTGTGCAAAATTACCTGAAATGTCTTCAAATTGATCCAAAATTTGTCCAATATGACTCAAAAATTGTTCAAAGGGATTTGAAACTTGTCCAAAATATTTTGAAACTTTACCAAAATGACTCAGAAATTGTCCAAAATAACCTGAAGCTTCTCCAATGTGACTTGAGTGCTTGTTTGAAAAAATAGTGCTGAACAAAAGAACTGATTTTAGTTTTATGCTGTCTAAAATGACTCGAGTCATCCAAAATAACCCAAAACTTGTCCATAAGAGTTCATAACATCTCCAAAATGAACTCAAAAACCAGAAAAAAGGAACCTTGATTCTGAATCAATGACATGATGAGAAATATCAATTACTTAAATTACTAAAAATGTGATGATTTGCGATAAAATGACTTGTTTTTGTTGTTTCAGCTGCAGGTCTTAAGACTGCACGTTTTATTACAGAATAATTTATTCGGCTTGCTCCTCCATGAGGTTGGATGTTGTTCAGAATGTGTCATAGTTCTCTGTTGTGTTTTGTCTCCTCAGGTCTTCTGGCGTCTCTACAGAGCACGCTCAGTAACCCCTCTCTACAGTCATCACTAAGCAACCCCAACATCCAGTCGTCGCTGAGCAGCCACTCCTTCTCCAACTCCCTGAGCTCCACCTCCCTGCACTCGTCGCTCAGCAACCCGTCACTGCAGTCGTCTCTCAGCTCCTCCCCCTCGCTGCCGTCGTCCCTCAGCAGCCAATCACTGCACTCGTCCCTCAGTAACTCCTCCCTCCAGTCAGTGTCCAGCAGCAACCCGAGCTACAGCAGCGGCGTGGGCGGCTCTGGCTCCTGCTCCTCGTCCTACTCGCCGCTGCTCGGTGGGCAGGGCCAGCCGTCGCTCAGCACGTCGCCACGTAGACGAGCCCAGTTGTCACCGCTCATCCTGCCCATGGGAGGGGAGTCACGGAGGCATCACTCCAAGCAGTTCTCCCCCACCATCTCCCCCACACTGTCCTCCATCACGCAAGTACGTCACACCTCCGTACGGCAGCAGGAAGGTGTCTGATACACATTGAAACCCAGCATTCACTCAAATACGCTGATTAATGCAGTTTGCAAACAGTGATGAAACTCTGGGGTGTCTGCCATGCCAGTCCACAGTTTCAGGACTGTTAGAAGTGTTGTTTAACCCTTTTTATTGGTGTTTAAAGTTAAACAGAATTCAATTAATCATAAATACAGTCAGATAAACATGATAGATCTCCTTCCACTCGTTTCTGCTGCTACAGAGCCCCTTCCCTGTCCTAATCTTATTAATCAAACTGAGTTAATGTAAGGTAGTATAGGTAGCTCGAAATAATTCAGTGTGACATAAATTGTTGGTAAAATATAGTATCCATCCATCCATCCATCCATTATCTAGCCATCCATTATCTATACACCACTTAATCCTCATTAGGGTCGTGAGGGGCTGGAGTCTATCCCAGCCGACTTAGGGCGAAGGCAGGGGACACCCTGGACAGGTCACCAGCTATCACAGGGCTACACTTAGAGACAGACAACCAAGCACACTCACATTCACACCTACGGACAATTTAGAATCACCAGTTAACCTCAACATGTTTTTGGACCTTGTGGGAGGAAGCCAGAGAACCCGGAGAGAACCCACGCTGCACGGGAAGAACATGCAAACTCCAACAGTGTTTAGCAACAGTGCTAAAATATAGCATATAAAACTTAAAAAAAAAACAAAAACATTAACCTTCTAAACTCCATGCATCAGTTTCTGGGTGGGTTTTTTGTGTGTTTTACTCTCTGTGGGCTCATTTTTCAGCGTAATATAAAGTCTTCTGTGCCGTATGACAGTTAGAATGAAAGAAAAAACAAACCCAAAATCAACATGTACAACATTTTTCCATGTGTTCACAGGTGTCAAGGTGACTTTACATACGATAGATATTTATCTATTTCCGTTTTTGTTTCCATACTTCTCTCTGCTCTGTATAAACACTGCCTGCAGTTCACCCGAAAACTCTTGATTTTTCTTAATTGATTGTTGTTCATAGTTGAGCCAGTCGTGTCTTAACGGTTGCATCACGGAGCTCAAAACTTTGTGTTTTTTTTTTTTTACACCATGTGGTTTCATCATTGTTTTAAAGTTGATCAGTAGAATAACATGATTTTGTTGAAGTGTCACAATTTTTAAGCTCAGATTTGGTTAATTTTCTACAATCTGGTTGGAATGTTTCAAATCTGACAAGTGTTTGTCATTTTACAGTTTCTGCCTGAAAAATGGTCCCACTTTGGTGATTTAAAAAAAAAAAAAAAAGATGTCATGCCTTTCAATCCCACTGCTGGGTTTTGAGGTTGAAGAGCAGCTTCCACATTAGTGACCCGATGAATTAATGTGCAAAAAAAATGAGGCAAAAGCTTGAATTCTGAAAAAACAATTTCTGCAGTAAAATGACATTAAGAGAAGTTTTTGTAACTGAGGTTTATGCAGGCCTCAAAAACACAACTTTTCCTTTTTTTTTTCCCTGACAAAAAACATACCTTTCAAACCTGCAGACGAGTTTTGGTGTTCACGTCTGTTACGCAGTTTAACTCGAGGGTTAAACCTGCTGCTCTAGTATCCAGATGATGCCTGTTGCTAACCTCCCTCCTCCCTCCGCAGGGCGTCCCTCTGGACACCAGCAAACTGCCTCTGGACCAGAGGCTGCCTCCGTACCCGCTCAGCCAGTCCCACCAGCACCAGCCAGGTTCTCACCAGCCTGTCCCCAGCCTGCCCGGCTCCCAGCCCGGCCAGCAGCCCCTTCCTCTGGGCCACCACCAGCAGCTGCACCGCCTACAGCAGCCGCGACCCAACGCCCAGCAGCAGCAGCAGCAGCAGCAGCAACAACAACAACAACAACAGCAACAACAACAACAACAACAACAACAACAGCAGCAGCAGCAGTCGCAGGTGCTGCAGCAGCTCCACATGCAGAACCTGCGTAACCAGCAGATGCAGCAGCAGCAGCAGCAGCACTTTGGAACGGTAGGTCAGCAGCTCCAGTGAAAGACCAGAGAGGCTCTTGTCGCCTATAGCTAACAGGGTGTTTCTGTGCAGCAGCAGAGGCCGATGGGACTGCAGGGAAACACCGCGAGCATCAAGAGCGAGAGCACGTTAGACCAGTGCATCCAGACGTCCTCGCTGTGCCAAGTCAAACAGGAGACAGAGCAGCAGGCGGAGCATCAGCAGCGGGCTGGAGGCCTCCCACAGCACCAGCAGATCAGCCACAACCTGTCCACAGACCTGTACAATGTGAGTAACTACAGCTCAGACAGAAACAACTGGTTCCATTATAATACCCTGAATGGTAAACTTTCAAGGCTCATACCAGCATGTGTGACAGGTGGTTGGTCAGAACAAGTCAGAGCTAATGAAAGGTCTCTTTTTTTTTTCTTTTTTTTTTTAAGTTATTTTTTTGGCCTTTTTGCCTTTATTTGATAGGACAGTAGAGAGTGAGACAGGAAAGTGGGGAGAAGAATCGGGGAGGGACCTGCAGCAAATGGCCCACGACTGCTGCGTCGGGGACTCTAGCCCCAGTACATGAGACGCCAGCTCAACCGGTTGAGCTGTAGCAGCAGCCCGAAAGGTCTCATTTTTACCTACAGTTGATATTTGATATTTTCATCTTCCTGACATGATTATTTTTCTGCAGTTTGTAATCATTTTGGTCAGTTTTTTTGTCATTTAGTTTTGAGTAACTTTGTACACTTTTTGAGTTATTATGGACAAGTTTTGAATCACTTTTAATTAAGACGTTTTTTAGTTTTAGTCCTTTCGGACAATTTTTGAATCATTTTCAAGACATTTTGGAGAACTTTCAATTCATTTGAGACAGGTTTTAGGTTTTTTTGGGCATCATTTTGTCACTTTTGGCAATTTTTGAATTATTTTGGACACGTTTCGAGTAACTTGATAAAGTATCAAGATACTTTGAAGGACTTGGGGTCATTGTGAACAAATTTTAATACATGGTGGAGAAACAGACATTTTTGGACCAGTTTCAAGTCATTTTAGACTTTTTTTGAGTAATTTTGAAGAAGCTTGAAGCCATTTTAGATATGGTTTTTGTCATTTTGGACAAATTTTAAATCATTTTGGACAAGCTATTGGTTTGAAAGAAATAAGGTGTTCTATTGTCTGATTTTATCTACATGGAGTTCAAGCCAAAATCTTAATTGTGATTAATATTCCATTAACTGTGCAGCGTGAAATTTGAACATTCTCAGTGTTCTCTTCTGTTTTTGCTCATTTTTGCTGTGCACATATTAAATTTGCATGTCAACTAACTCGGTGTATTCAAGAAGCCTTAAATCAGAGTAAACACAGATTTCCCTTGTAGATTAGTCCTGGAAAATGAAAACTGTTTTCTTTTGCATGAAGCAGTTTGATGTGCTTTGAGTTAATTTGTCTTACTTCATATCGGATTGTCGACGCTGTTATGAGAGCTCAATCAGCCCTGTTCTGCAGATTTCTGTGTCAAAGTCAGAAAACATAAAGTAACTGATGCCCCTAGAAACTGCGGCATGAGTCAGAAGAGACTGAAATATTTCTGTTTTCTCTTGTTGTTTTTAAGCATTCATTCTGTCAGGAAATGATTCAGAGTATCTGAGGACAGCTCAACATTTATTATTACAAAGCAGAGCTGCAAACGTCTGTTTTGGTCTCTTCCAGAAACACTGCGTCACCTTCCGATGTCGTCGCAGTATTTTTAGTTTGTGGAAATGTATTGGGTTTAGCTGATTGAATCATTCACACTGATGTTGTGCATGTTGTACACATGTTTCTACACAGCTACGTGTCTGTAGGTGCCACCTTGTTATATGACTGTGTGCTACTTTATTTTTCATGTGACGGTGCAAACAACAAAATAAGACGCTCCTATTTAACAGACTAACAGGCTCACATGTGGAAAGTTGACACTGAAGATTAGAGGAGGTGTCACCTTCCTTCTCTGATGTAATGCTGAGAGACAAACAGCACCTGAAGTTATTTGTGGAAGTCACTGTATGCTGAGAGACATCAGATCCGCCCCTCAGTCAACACAAACACCGTCTAATGTTTCAGGATTCAAACACAGATTACACTGCTGGTGATTAATGAGCAGCCGTCAGCACGATCCTTTTCAGCCTTTTGTTCTGAATGTTGGAACAGAAAAAGGGTCAAGTAACTGTTTTCATCCCGTGTGAGTGCAAACTGAAATTCCCCTCGTCAGAGCCCATCAGTAGAGACAGTTACAGAGACATAAACTGGACATAAAACGACAAAAATAAGATACAAAACAAAAAAATGAGTCAAAACAACATAAACGAGATACAAAACCAGACAAATGAGACAAAAACAACAAATGAGACACAAAATGACATACACCGACACACATAACGGCACAAACAAGAGGCAAAACAACTAAAATGGGACACAAAATGACAAAAACTGAACACTAAGCAGAAACAAGACAAAAAATGACCGTGTCTGTCTCCTGACTCAAAACCTGTCCAAAACGATTCAAAATTTGTCCAAAATGTTTTAAAACTTGTCAGAAAGATACTCAAATTACTTGAAAATTTTCCTGATATTACCCAAAATGTGTCCTAAATGATTTAAAACTTGTCCAAAACTATTCAAAACCTGTTCAAAATTACCAAGAAATGGTTTCAAAATGATTTTTTTTTTTTAAAAAAGTCCCTAAATGCCCCAAAGTGTATCCAAAATAACAAAAAAATCTTCAAAATGACAAAAACTTCTTCAAAGTGTTTCCACAATGACAAAAGTTTTCCGAAATGCCTCAAAATCTGTCCAAAGCAATTCAAAACTTTTCCAAAATGACTCGAAATCAGCTAAAGAATGAGCCTCTGATCAAAATATAGGAAAATATTAGAACCTTTCATTTGCTATAACTTGTGTTGACCAATAGATTTGGTTGCAATATTTCAAATATGTTTATGCTGCCCTGACATTTTCATTTTTCTATCTCCTGTACTTAGGAAGTTATGAGGCTCAGAGATGATGGAAAAATTAAAATAAAGATGCAAGATTTCAACTAATCACTGTGTATTTTAGGGCTTTGTTACTCTGAAAATATTCATAGTATGAAGGTGAAACTTTGTATGACTTCATGAAATATACTGAAGTTGCTGTAGATAAATAATGAGGTGATTTTAAGGAGGTCAGGGGGGTATCTTTGCAGATTTGGTTGAGTTTATATGGAATTATCCATCAGTAATTTCAGAACAAAAGCCAACACTGGTTAAAGCTGAAGGGACAATCTGCTGTGTGACCAAGCTGTTGTCTTTCTGTTTTTCCCAGGATGCCTTGTTCAACTCTCTGCTGGATGATCCGTACCTGAATCTGCAGCTCACAGGGAAATCCAACCAGCAGGTAACTTCTACTAACAGCTGCTTTAACTTCATCAACAGGAGGCGACGAGATCAAACATCATCACTTTAATTCCCTCTTTGTGGATGGTTTCTCCATCCAGACTGTAAACTCTTTGATGCACGTTGCTCCTACGGATAAAACTCTGTATTAAACTAAACTGTTACACTAAATTATTAAAGACTGTAGGATCAGTAAGCCTCGCTGCTATCAGTTCTGCTATCAGTATTGAAGAAATTAAGTAATTAATAATGGCTACATAAGTGTTATCTTGCATATTTTATCACCAACTCAGTTTGTAATTCATCCATGATGCTTTTTCAGTCTTTTTCAAGTCAGAGCAGGAACATGATCAATCTGTAGGAAGTGTGTCAGTGTCACAGCAGCAAAGGGAAACGTGCAACAATGTGGGGAACATCAGGAAAAAATTAATACAAACAAGAAAGCACTGTCGATGTACAGGCTTCTTCTTGATGTGAAAAAATAAATATAACACTTTTAAAAATTCCTCATCTACAAACTCCCAGCAGGTTTTTCCACACAGTGAAATTTGAGGCTGTTTGGACATCAGTGTCTCAGGAACTATTAAAGAGAAAATCCTTAAATTTTCTCTGTTACTTGTCATCATGACATTGACATGACATTTTAAAAAGATATTTTGTTATTTTTAATTTTAGAGAGTGTTTAAAGCTCGGATCAGACCATCTACCAGTATTTTGTTTTTGTGGTACAACTTTTCATAGCTACTCAAGCAGTTCAGAAAGTTCAACAAAAATAACTTTATTTCCACTTTTGTCACCAAATATTTCATAATAAAAGTATACTGTATGTTCTATTTTGTATTATTGTGACATGCAGCTACATGCGGTTTAGGAAGTATCACTAGTTGACTTCCGCATTATCAATGTTTTGTAAATATGAGTTCAAAAATAGGACTTTTCAACCTTTTTTTTCCTTAAATAATTCAACTCACCCATCATGAAAGATTATTTGATCTATCTGTCCAGTATTACATATTATGAAAATTTCAGGTTTTTATCTTTAGCAGTTCCTGAGATATTGTCATTCAAACAGATTTGGACGTCCATGGCTTCAGTGTCTTGATGTCTTGTTTAGGCCATAGATATTCAGTTTCCTGTCACAGAGGAGGAAAGAAACCAAGAAAATTTCACATTTAAGATGCTACAACCACAGATTTAGGACCTTTTCTTCATTAGTTGTCTGAATAGTTGACAGCTACTCAGTGAACATCCTCCCTGTGCGGTTCGTTGTTTTATAATCGCTGCCCTGTTGGTCCAGTTCACAGCAGAGAATCAGGGCGACAGTCTTTCCCTGAACCACGGCGGTCTGGGCTGCAGCAACATCATCAAGAGCCAGTTTCCCTCCAACAGCCAGGGCCCGCTGGAGCTGCAGGATCCAGGAGACCAGCAGCTGCTCAACAACCAGAACCAGAACTACAGCAGCGGTGGCGACGGACGACACAACGTCCCGAACATCATCCTCACAGGTCAGAACCACACATTTACTGGAATATTGATGTTTTCAGCAGATGACACCAACACTGTTTAAGCCTTTTTCCTCAGTGTGGGCTCATTTTTCACTGTAATATAAAGTCCTGCACCTCTATGGAAACAATACAACCATGACCAGAAGGAGAGAGAATGTCTTCTGTGCAGTATGATACAGTCAGAATAACAGAAATCAGAAAATAAGAAACATTTCAATAATTATTTATCTTCCAAAAATGTAAAACATAAAAAAATGGAATCAACATGTCCAACATTTACCAAGTGTCCACAGCTGTTACCAACACTGGGGAAAAAAAAACAAAAAAACTCTACATATCAGAGATATTAAACTATTTGTTGTTTAAATTAGTTTCCATTCTTGTCTCCTTTCTGCTCCTTTCAAACACATCCTGCAGTTCAGTCGAAAAGTCCCTGAATTTTTTGTCATATGGCTGTTGACCAAAGCTCAGTCAGACAATGCTTTCCATTTGCAATGAGGAGGTCAGAATTGTTTGTATTTTACAGAATCCGGTTAGAACAAATGCTTTAATTTTGGCAAACTTTTAAATGAGACGTGTAATGAGACTTGTCTCCTCTCTGCTCTGTGGAAACACAGCCTGCAGTTCACCTGAAAACTGTCTGAAATTCTGTCATCAGGACTGTTGGTCACAACTGAGCCAGTGAAAACCTCAGAATCTTTTGTTTTTACAGAATCTGGTTACAGCAAAATGTTTATTTTTAGTGATTTTTTTAAGAATAAGTCACGTGGAATGATTGATTTTAATGAAATATTGTGACCTTCGGCTCAAATTTGGTTCTGTTTTTGAACTGTCACAGATAATGAGTAGTTCAAGGACCATTGGAAAGTTGAAAGTCTTATTTTTGTCAAGTCTTTTAAACCTTCCAACAATTTTGAGGTTCAGATTAAAGGATTAAAAGAACGTTTGGTTTTTTCCTGATTAAACAACTAAGCTACACTGTTGTGTCCTTCAGGATAAAGCTGAGTCAAGTGCACATCAAGGACGACAACACATTTCTCAGGTTTAAAACAATGAACTGTCAGCGTGGGTGTCCTCAGACCTAATTACTTTCTGTGAAAAACAAAACTGTACAGACACAAAAAGCAGTGAGAGGAGCTCAATCACCTTCAATATCACACAGCAATGTCAGTAACATTGGTCAGGAAGGATAGAAGAAGTCAATCAACAGAAACATTTAAAAGAAGCAAAGTTACGTTTGTTTCTGAATAATTTTTGCCAGAGTTTCCTGAGCACATGATTTATTTGGTTCCTTTTCCTTTTATTTCGTTCCTTTTCTTTCTTTTTCTTGCTAAAAATCAAAGCTAGATTGTTTGGGGAAGTGAAGGTGAAACAGCAGACGAGTTACTGAGAAGTGGATCTGTGAATTTCTTTTGAAAAGAAGACTTGAAAAAAGTTTGGCCTACGAAAAACAAGCAGGGCCTCATTGAACATGTACAAATCACCGGATTACACTGCAGCTACACAATCTTTTAAATAACTTGAATAATGCAGTTTTACTAACTGCACACCTGCAACCTGGAATAATTCAGTTTTATCCTCAGATTATTGATTTGACCTATTTTCACTTCTGCTCTTCTTTTAGTTGATTCACCATGTCTGAGTTTAAATAAAGCTTGATTGATTTAAATATTTTCTGAACTTGTCAAACCTGAAATCTGAGACAAGGTGTTCGCTGCAGCTTCAACATGACACCACAAAGAAAACAGAATCACAAACAGAGGTTTACAGGTTCACTGCGTTTTGAAATGAGAACAGCAAACAACACTAACAATCACAAAATAATAATGATGCAATCATAATTGTAAAGACAACAACAACAATGATAATCATAGTAATGACAATAGTAATGACATTTAATAGTAGTACTAATGTGGACCACAACTGTTATAATCACAATAATAATAGACACAATAACAATTTTAATAAAATCAATATAACAACAACAGGGTCGATAATAATAATATCAACAATAACAACAACAACAACAATAATAACAGCTTTATTTGTATAGCACCTTTAAGAACAACAATTCACAAAATGTTTTGACAGGTAGAACATAAAATACAGGTAAAGTATCAGGCAGGACAGGGCAAACACAGGTAAAAACTCAATAATAAATTAAAAGTACATGCAAACACATGTAAATATACACTGTAAAAATGAAAATGTACAGAATGGATAGCTAGTTAAAAGCTGGTTAAAAGGACGACACCACACAAGGGGGTTAAGAGAGAAACTGAAGAGAAAGTCAAAGATAAAAATAGATTAAGATCAGGAGGTTCGAAAGAGGGACTACGAACAGTAAACATTTTAAAATGGATGAAAGGGCAGAGACTGCAGTGGCAGCTGGTTAATACAGGGTGCAGTGGCGCCGCCCCACTACTAATGACCAGAGAAAAAGTAGTTCTCAAACACAATATTAAATGGATATCAAAACTGTCCTTCGACGTTCTTACGACTGCTCTTTCTGACACCGTCACACGGCCGTTCCCCTCCTCTTCTACTAGATGACATCTACTGTCATGACGGCTTAATGAATCGGCCATGCTGTCAATAGAGAAAAGGCTGTTTTTCCACTCATAGAAGAAGCAGCATGTAGAATACATGGAATTTAACCTCGGATAAATCTGACATGAGAATGCCCTAGTTTATTATTTTTGAAGTCATTTTTGGTCACACACCTGTCTGAGCACACCACAGCCACTAAACAGCAGCTACAGCAGTCTGCTATGTGGGGCGTTTAGGGAGCATCAGTAAATCGTAGCGTCTCTCAATGAGAAAATGTTCAGCAAGTCATATGTTCTGTGTGTGACCAGGTGGGAGGTACAACAAAATGAGAAATTTGGTCGTACTGATGCTACCAGTGAAAAAGTCAGTCTGGAGCCCCGAATAGTGTTTCATTCATTATTTATGTTGTGTGTTTTGAGTTTGTACAGATCCTGTAAATATTGATGAAAGTTTGATGAATGGTTTTGAAATTTAGTTATGGTCAGTCTTAATAATGTTAAATTAGATTATGATTGCAATATCCTCCACAGGTAGTAAATTTGTATTCCTGTAAATAGTTGTGCCTGATGTTACTCATATTCTAATTTCTGATTTAAAATAAAAGGTCATTTGCAGACTGCGCCCCCACCAAAAAGTCTCACCAGCCGCCACTGATAGATAGTGATACAAGAGAAATAAAAGAGAACTTTACTTGAAGGCGAGTCTATAAAAGTGGGTTTTAAGTCGTGATCTAAGTTATATCAGTTATAGTAATAATGATAACAATAATAACAATATAGAAGTACTAACAATCATATGCTGATACTCAATCATTGGATTGACAGAATGTGCAGTTGTTGTAGACATTATTAAAACTGTATTTTGAGGGCATTTGTTCTTTTTATTTTCACACCATGTGGTGGAAAGCATGTGGACAGTCTGGATGTTCTACTCCACTGTGTTCTCTCTCAGTGTTTTCATTAAACACACTTCAGATGCAGTAATATGGTTGCTGACAACATCATGTCTTCATGTTCTGTTGTCATTCCTGCAGCAGTGTTGGTTCTCTCTCTCACACGTCCTTCCTCTCTCCTCCCCCTGCAGGCGACTCCCCCACCGGTCTGTCCAAAGAGATCGCCAGCGCTCTGTCCCACGTCCCCGGCTTTGAGATGGACCCGTTCTCCCTGGATGAGCAGCTCCGGATGGACCCGCTGTCCCTGGACATGCTGGACGGGGATCTGATGCTGGCCGACCCAGCCGTGGAGGACTCGTTCCGGTCCGACCGGCTCAAGTGACCCCCAGCCGAGCGGCAGGAGCACGGTGGGACCCGGCGAAGACACGGCCGCCCACTCGGAGGTGGAGGGGATGCCACCACTCCGCCTCGGAGCCGGCCAGCGTGCAGAGCGACGTTTGAAGTCGCTCAAGTGTTGTAGAGGAGGACCGGAGGTTTCTGAAGTGAAGGAGGGGCAGCTTCTCCATGGAAGGCACTTAACTGAAAACGCTCTCGCAACGCTTGAAGAACAGACGCTTCTCTTTTAGGCATTAGCTTGTCTGAGTCTTATCTGCACGTCGATGGAAAATGCACTCGCAGGATTAAAACGTGACGTCGGCTTTGTGTCGTCTGTACAACCAGCAGCGCTTCTGAAGCTTTTATGCATCGCGACGTTGTGTGGAGCCTCCCTGCACGCGTGATTGGTCGGAACCGTCTTACCCCAAGCTGCCGTTCGGCCAATCGTAGGCTTCGCCTGCGTCATCCGCCACTTTAACAGGAGCTCAGCCATCTTTATATACGTTTGGAAAATGTGTCCCTGCAGATCGACATTCTGGTCTGTTGTTTTATGCAGAAACCAGCTGGTTGGACACGAAGCTGCCTCTGATCAGACTCCAGAGTCCAGTTGACCGGTGGAGCAGATCACTGGGATCATTCAGGCAGTCGCACAAGCAGCGAGTCAAGAAAAAGTAACACAACCATTATTCTAGATGGTTTCGAATTTTTTTATTATTTTAAAAAATATTTTAATTCCAGTTTTGCATGATATTAACGTTGTTTCACACATTATTGAGCCCTTAGAATTCAATTCTGGCAACAGAAAGCATCTAAATACAGTATCCCATTCTATCCTATTTTTTTAGAATCGTAACGCAAATGTCTCTAATTTACACAAAGTTTAACAGGAGTTATTTCAAACTTACTGATGGTGTCGGGACATTAGAACCCTTTGAATTAAGCAGGTACTTTGAATCAGCAGAATTTAGATTCACAAGAATTTAGTTTATTCTAATTTCAGCTTGTGTCAATTCCAGATATTTTGACACCAGAACCAAACAAATCACTCTGCAAAATCACGCTGTGTGACCATATGTGGGATTAAGTGTCAGAAATGGCGCCTTGTAGTGGAAAGAAAGAACAGTTTTGCTGCTTGTATGATGAAAATCCCTCTGATGTTTCCAGTTTTCTGCTCCACTGACAGCAGCTTTAAACCCTGAAAAGATGCTGCGATCTAAAGTGTGAATGTGCCATCAGAGACTGAAAGCCTTTCAGTTCCTCAGCACGTAAAAGGTTCCAGAAATCACAGTGATTCTAAGTCATGTTTGTTCATTTTCCAGCGTGAAAACACTGTCAGATGTTCCCTTTTTTACATCCCGTCATCAGGCAGATCTGAAAGAGACGAATCCACAGAATCCAAACCCAGAAAACAGCTCAGAGCAGCGAACAGCATGAATCTGATCGATGCAGTCCTGTGCAAAAGTTTTAGCAAAGCGAAAACCTGAGTCAGATCCATATTTCACTTCTTCTCTGGATCTCCTGGTTCTTCTGGTTCTGTCTGACTCCATCTGGATGTTTGAAACTCCTAATGCTGAGAATCTAAACATTGAAAGAGCTTCAGACTTTTGCACAGCTCTGTATGTTCAGATCACAGTTCAGCCTCTCCAGTCTGACACAAGAGAAATAATGCATTTTGTTCTTCTTATTCTCCAGTTTCTATAAGAGCCACCTCTGTAGTGAACCAAAGAAGATTTTTGTGGACTCAAAGTTCACTCTCGACTTTTTTTTCCCAAGCAAAACACAGCAGTTTCTTCAACATTAGCTTCTTTGAAGCCAAGAATAACGTTCAGCACATGTTTAGACATCAGATTCGTCTCAAAGATGCACATCTGGATTTAATTAATCGCTCATCAATTCTCAAAATGATGATAAACTTTAATCATGCAGCACATTTTTGGAAACCTCAATAGTGTTTTACAATAAAAACACATAATTCATTTAAAGTTTATTTAAATCTGGATGAATCAGAATAAGGAGAAAATGAACAACCGAACAGACTTTTTTTTTTTTTTTTGAAGTGACATTAGAGAGAAGAAAAGTAGTTTGTAAATCTGGTTTTAAACTGAGCTGCAGGTACTGTTTGCTCAGGTTTAATGTTCCAGGTGTGTGCAGCACAAAAGCAGTCGAGTAGTAAGAATAAATATAAACAGGAAAGAGTTGTTTAAATTCATTAAAATGAACCTCGTAATGAAGCAAAGAAAATCCTGGTGAACTCACAGTCTACTCTCCACTTTATCTTCGTCTCTTTGAACAAAACGCAGCTTTTTTCCATCAGGAAGTTTGGAGAAAATGTTCAGTAAATCAGTCAATCTGCAGCGTAAAGTTGGAGGTTTTTCCTCCCAGACATTAATGGTTTCATCAAATGGTGAAAGACGCCTGTTGAAAAAGGTGAAGCCTCAAGTCAAGTTTGACCAAAGAAAAGCCGAAAATGCACACATTTTTGTGGAAAAAAAGATTATTCAGTGATCTCAGCTGCTTCTTCTGAACCACAAACCCCAACGCAAACACAGAGTTCAAACTAATCTGTTATTTTCTTCATTAATTCATTCTAAAAGAAAACTTCAAACATCTCTGTGTTTTCTGAATAACGTCTCCCCGGTGTAATCGTTTGTGCACGAAATGATAATGTTCACTTAAACAGAGATCAGTATTTTCAAGAGTGAAAACGAACCAAAACTTTATCTGCAACTGGTCTTATTCTCAGTTTATCGACTTTTAGTTCAGTATCACATCGCTGTCAGGTGAAAAACTGGGAAACTAGCAGCTGCAGAGACAAAGTTTGGTTCGTTTGGTCTTGGCTTCTTGTCTTCTGTTTATTTCAGCCTACAGCGCCACCGTCTGACCACTATACACAGCCCAGTTTAACTTAATGACGTTTTAGTTTTTGTAGCTTTTTCAAAAGTGTGCTTCAGATTAATGTGGAAACGCAGAGACTCGTTGTTGGCAGTGAAACGTGGAAATCAGTGTGACGTTTGTGTAGAAAGTGACAGAAAGTGATAAAAAGTGAAAGCGTGGAGGATTTGAGTTTTAAAGCAGAACAGCTGCTGGTGGTTTGTTCATGCAGTCGACGGAGAAACAGAAAGAAGGTTTGGATGTCGGTGGTGCAGAGTTAAAACGGACTGAGGAGGGTTGAGCTGTTTCTGCTGCCTCCTGTAGGTCACTTTAGGCTGTTACAGACTCATGAACAAGTCAGTTTCTGTTCAGAGTTCACTTATTTATAATCTGGGACCAAAACCTAAGCTCTATAAAATATTTTTGGCTGGATTTTGAGAATTCAGTATTTTCAGACCTCTGAATGAATATTTTCATAGTCAAAAAAACTTTCAAACAAGGGTGCTTTTGTGACCCAAGAAAGTTACTGTAAGTGTATATTTATTGGTGTATTCATATTTCTTGCTAAAAATACTGTCTTTGGTCAACGTTTCACCAACGTTTGAGGCCTCTAACACCAGGAAATTTGATTTATGTCAAGTATGACAAGACAAGGTTCCAAATATATGTTGTTTTGACAAAGTGGTGATGTGGACTCATTGGCAAGATCATATAATGGGTGTGCATTGAGGTCCATATATTGTCATTATATGTCCACAGAAACAAGCTTCTTCCATGTTGAAATTTGACAACATACGAGGGTGAAAACACAAAAATTCACAGGTTTGAAATCTCTCAAATATTTTACAGAATTAGTTTTGGGTCCTAAAAAAAAACAGAAGGAAATTCAGAACTAAATTTGAGACAATTTGTCTGACCGACCCGTTTAGAGATTAAAAATTAATCACTTTGACTTTTTCAAGCTCTTCTATGCAAAGTTTATGGCCTTTAAACAAGACAAAAGTCAACGTGAGATGTGAAGCAGATGTTACTGCGAACCAGCGCTCTGTTACAAGTGAAACTCAGTCAGTGTTACAGTATTAAATTATATTTCAAATAACTAAAAGAAGTGTATTTATTTAGTAGAATGGCCCTTTAAATTCATGTCATAACGGTAAATTATTGATGTAAAGATGTTTTTGACTGAGTCTCCACAGTGAAGGTGTAGAAGTGCACACAGACACTAATGGAGCTGAAATAAAGCAGGATGAGCCTTTAAATTGAACCTCAGTGCTGCAGTTTGTGAGAAAACTTTATTCCTGCAGCTGCTTTTACACAGAAAACAAACATGAAACATGGACGGTTGACCAGCGGAGATGAAGCACGTTTTAGGACTTACTATAAAGTTTTTGATTTTTTGTTGGAAAGAACTGAAGCATTTAGACTTGTTTGTCTTCTCAGGTTTTTCAGACAGAGAAGCTGAGCTGCGATTAGTTATTTCCTTTAATAGTTGCTGGATTGTTCAGAGCGTGAAATGTGACAAACCAGTGAAACAAGGATCAGAAGTCGCAGGTGATTGATCAGTGATCAGGACTGATCAGCTGTCAGGTTCCTCAGGTGGTTGATTGGCTCAACCAGGTCGGCTGAATCAGTTTGTTTTGTGTTTGGTTGTTAAAGTAAAGTTGTCTTTAGATGAACTCGTTACTGATGTAAACTGTTTGTTTTGGGAGCTGTTGATATTTTTTTTTAACCTAAAATCTTTTTTTTTTTTTTTCCGTCACATCTGAAGAAAATTAACTTTAGAATTTGGCTTTTGTCTTTTTTGTAGATTTTCTCCAAAACACTTGGAGTTTGTTCCTTTTTTACTTCTTTTTGTTCAATTTATTCCCTTCTTTTGACTGTTCTTCCCATTGTTAATTAGACTTCAGTTTGAACGTTCACATTTAACGGCTAATCCTTCGCGAAAACGGTGACTGTCTCCTGGATTCACAGCCTCCAGCTTTACCAGACATCCTGAAATGAGCCGAAGCTGCTGCAAAATTTAGAATTTTCTTTGTTCTGCAGCTTCATAACATCTCACTGAACTGGTAGAATAAAAGTGTTGCACTGAACCAGATGTGTAGAGAAAAAAATCCAGTTTAAATCCTTTAAATCCAAAAATCACAGTTTTTAAACATGTTACTGCCATCAGTGTCTGAAAGAAAACTACTGTGAGATTTATCTTGTTTCTTTTTGGCAGCTTCTGTTTATGTTCCATTAGTTTCCTTCTTTCCTCTGTTCTTGGACTGTAAGTACCACTATTATTTTTTCTGCATGTTGGTGTCTTTGATCTTCACATTTACCATCTGATTCTTCATAATGCGCTTTTTTTAAAAAGGTGATGATGCCACTAAATCATCTCTATGAAAGTTTTCTAAAAGAGTCTGTGTGGATTCACAGTTCCTGTTTTTACAGACATCCTTAGATGAGTAGAAGCTGCAGAGCTAAAGCACTTTTCTTTCTTTGCCACAGAGCTGGTAGAATCAAACTGTTAAATCCAACCAGACGTGGAGAGAAAAATCTGATCCAGTTTATTCAAATAAAACAACCAAAGTGCTGCACATATTAGAAGAGAAATATATGCAAAAATTAATTTCCAAGACAAACTCAAAATAGTAAAACAGCAGGACAAAAACCAGATTTCTAAAATGAACTAAATATAAAATAGTAAATGTTCAGACCAGTAAGAGCAGCAGAAAAGTGTTTGTTCAAAGTGTCAGTGGAGGAACGTTTGAAGGCTAAAGCTTTGCGGGAGAAATCTTCGATATCGGCTGCAGAGTGAGTTTGAGAGAAAACTTGTTTAATTTCAGTTTCATTGAAGTGTTAATTTTAATTTTAAGAAGCAGCTTCAGTTTGTTTTCACATCTGCAGAAGTAGATCAAAAACAGCGAAACAGGAAGCTTCATTTTCTGTTCAAGAAAATCCCAAAATGCACCGACTGTGTTTTCTCCACTGCGTGTGTTACAATGTGTGTCTGCGTGTGTTACTGTGTGTGTGTGTGTGTGTGTGTGTGTGTGTGTTTTTGAAGCATCTTGTTGTTGTTATGCAATAAACTAGTTGTGAGTTAACCTGCAGTTTCAGACTCTGCCAGTAGGGGGAGCTGTTGACCAGCGAGGCAGTGAATGTGTGTGTGGGTGGGTGCGCGTGCGTGTGTGTGAGCGCAGATTAGGGATCAGTTAAAGGCCATATTTCGTATGTTTTTTTCATATTTTTTATTGATGTCAGATATTAATTTCTCTCATATTCTTAATGTTTATAGTTTGTCTATTTTCGGCTCCGAGCTCTTCTGCGTCTGTTGCTTCGTATTTTAATAATAAATTTGTTTCTATTCAGATTTTTATTTGAACCTTGTAATAACCAGGGAACGTTACGTGTGTGTTGTACATATTAATATGTTTTAAAAAACCAGAGGTGCTTCTGAAGCTAACAGGAGAGATTTTTAAAGAGACTGTACCTTCACATTATTTTCCAGAAAATAAACAAATAAAACCTGGAAGCTGCTGTTGTCGTCTCTTTATGGCTATTATATCTTCATAATTCATATTTATAACTGTAATGCAGCATTGGGTTGCATTATTGTTTAAATCTGGAAATAATCAGCAAACCACAGCAAGTTCTGACATGAAACATAAAGACGAAATATTTCAGATTCTGATCTGTTTCTTCATTGCAAAAAATATATAACATACTGTGATTTTACAGTAAGTTCTCATACCAATAAAATGAAATTTGACATTTTTGCTGCTTTAAATTGAATCTACGCAACAGGAAGAAGAAATATTTCAGACTGCTCTACTTCTAGCTCATACAACATTTATCATTTATCGCACAGATTTTATAGTAATTTCTGTTAACAACAGAGTAAATTTTATGTTTTTGCTACTTAGATTTGAATTTAAGATCAAAACTATGAGACAAAAGCAAAGACTGATAGTTTTTTTTATTTTGTATGGTTTATTTGGAAATAGATTTACTCATTTTATACAAATAAATGTTTTCATTTTAATGTGTTTTTTGTAGAAATTGTCAAAGAAAATGTACTCTCATTGTTTCTTGGTGTCCGGTATACAGTTTACCAACACAGAGCACGAGTATGCAAAGGTAAGCCAACCCAGAACATTTGCAGAGTACAGATTTTCAAGGGATGGGAGGAGGCTGTACGTAAATACTGTTTGTGTATAGTTACTAATCAGTGACAGAAGGTATGAGAACGACAAACAAAAGGTGATTGAATCAAAGAGTCTGATAAACAACAAAAGGTATGAGAATAATGAATAACAATGAGTACTGGAATGAAGGAGTGACACTTGGAGGAGTCTGTAGCTAAAGGATGTGTTATTTTCTTCATCAAAATGAACAGAAAATCACCTGATTGTACTGTCAGCTCAGGTGTTACGCTGCTGCTGCAGTTTTTATTGTTCCTGCTGGTGAAGATGATGACAATCAGGAGGATCCTGCAGCAGGTCACACTTTGTGTTTCAACCTCCAGAATAACAAGAATTCAGTCATCACTTCAGTTTGTCTGACGGCTGCAGCTGCATTGATTTTCCACAGGACATACATTATATTGTATTATACTATGGTATGAAAAAAAGCACATTAAAAATGCTATTACATTTGTTTTATGATACTATATATATATATATATATATATATATATATATATATAACTTTTAAAAAAAATTTAAATTATTATTTCTTTTTCTAAAGCACTGTGTAGCTTTATTTGGAAGGGTACTGTATGATGAAGTGTATCATTATTATTTAAAATATGTAAAAGACCGTTTCAAGTGATAATCTATAAAAAGTGTATCATAATTATGTTATTTTATGAATAGCAAAAAGAGAGATTTAAGTGATATAATCGATTAAAAAGGTGCATTGTTGTCATCATTACTATTATTTTAAGTAGTAGTATCATCATAAATATGAAAAGACAAAAGTAGGTGGTAATAATCTATAATAAAGTGTATAATTACTATCATTATAAAAAGACATATTTAAGCTATAATAATCTACAATTAGGCGCATTAATATTATTATAAATACATAAAAGGCTCTGTGTGGTTGCACATATAACTGGTGACAGATAAACACAGGCTCTTATTGTGAAGGCTGTAGCCGAGCTCTTGTCTCGCGCTGCGGCTCCTCGCGCACAGCGAACATGGACGTCACCTGTGAGAGAAGCTGAACATGGTGCTGCTCACCTGCGGGACGAAACAGCTCACACAGCCAGGTACGGTACCGTCAGAGCCCAGAGCCGAGCCGTCTCACCGGCAGAGCGGAGCCGGTGTCGGTACCGGAGCGGAGCTAGCTCAGCATGCTAACGGAGAGCTAGCAGGCGTTAAACGGCACAACGGGAGCAGCGCTGCGCCCGTTATCGGACACACCTCCGTTTTCTTTCTGTTATGTTTCACGGGGGGCTGTGCAACCGGTAAAACACCGATAAAAACACCGGGCCCGGTTCGTTCTTATCGGTTTAATGCGCATGTCTGTAGTCTGTAGCGTTAGCTGGCCAGCAGCTAGCACATAGTTAGCAATTTATAACCTCAAATATTATGTCCGTGTGTCCGTGTGTTGCAGCGGCGCGGCGGGAACAGTTTGTTCCAGATGTTAAAAATCACATTAAAAAAAAATGTCGAAAACACAGAAATCAAGAAAACACGGAGGTCGTGTGGTGCTGAGTCCGCGTCCGATAATGGAACCCAGCCCACGGCGGCCCCCAGGCTCCATAGCACTGCAGCGGCAACGACCATCGCTCCGTCCCCCGGTGAACCGCCGCAGAGACGCGAACACCGGCGGAGCTTCCAGGCTTTTTTCACAACATTTAGTGTCCGGATGAGTTACAGTTACGAAGGTGTTTGATAATGAGCAGGACTGAAGCGTGCACAGCGGTGTCCGATAATGGAAGCCCGCGTGTGTGAAGGTGGAGGAGGTTTTAAATGTCCAGCAGCTGTTGGAGCCCGTCTGCACTGCAGCTCCATCAGCTGTTCTGTGGAGGAGCAGGAGGAGCTGCTCTGTTAGCAGCCAGCTCTCACACTGTTCTTATCTTTGTTATTTACTTTTCTTCTGTACGTTTTCTGGCTCCTAATAGATCTATTACACCTGCAGATAGAAACGTTGCTGTCAAAGCGAAGCGTTTTTCATCTTTGCGTGTCATGTGATAAGCAAACATGAGGAGCCTCCAGCAGCAATCACACTTTATAGTTACTTCCACTCTTGAATATTCAGTTTGCTTCTGTAGGTGTTTTCCCCTCCTAATAACTCTAATACACTTGTAGCTTGAAACGTTGTTGTCAAAATTAACGGTTTTGCAACTTCCCACGTGTCATGTGAGCAGCTACAGTATGAAGCGGTGCCTTTTGGACACCAAAAATAAAAAACTGCTCAAAAACGCACCAGTTTGCCTCTTCCAGCAATCACACCTGCAATTTCCCCAGGAATTGCCAATTGTAGTTACCACCGCTCATTGATGCTGAATTTTCTGCCAGTGCATTTTTGCAACTTGCACCACTTGCAGTCTGAAACGTGGTCGAAACGAAAGGTTTTGCATCTTTGCATGTGTCACTTGATCAGACAAAATAAGGAGCAGGGCTTCACACAAATTTGCCTCCATCAGCAATCACACTTGCAATTTTCCCAGGTTTGCCAGTTCAAGTTACTTTTTGCTTTTTATTATTTAGTTTTCTTCTGTGTGTTTTTTGGCTCCCAATAACTCTAATACACTTGTAGCTTGAAACGTTGTTGTCAAAATGAACAATTTTGCATCTTTGCATGTGTCATGTGAGCAGCTACAGGGTGGCTGTGCTGCTTTTTGGACATTTTGGCTGCGGAGTCTTATTTGCAAAACACAGTGAACCAAGATGAGCATCTTGTGACAAATGTATTGAGTTTGTATTGATTGGGGTTGCAGGTTTGATCCCAGGTGCCTCCTGTACATGTGCTCAACTGGACAGTCTCAAGTAACTGCAAGCTGCAGCAGCTTTCAGCAATCGCACTGGCAATTTCTCAAGGAATTGCCCAGTCTGGTTGCTATTTTTGTTGTTGTTGTTATAATCGGAATATATGTAATATTGAAAAAGAAAAACATTCCAGTATTTACTTGATCTGCGATATAATGAATTGCAGAAATTTTCAGCTGTTGAACTGAAATACTCTGTTGGGGAATAATAAATGACTTTAGTTGGGCTGGGTGATACAGCTGAAAGGTTTATCACATAACCCCCCCCCCCAGTATAGTATTGTACAGCGGTGTGCCGTCAGGGCCAGCAAGGCCTTCTCTGCTGGCCTGAACTCTATCAGAATCACTGACTTATGTTGTAAAATTTTCCCATTAATCTTTTAACTTTATTCCCAGTAGTCTATTCTCTTCATTTTATAGCGTGTCTCTGGGCTGTGGTGCTTCCAGCACTGTATGTTTATATTAGAGCTTTTTTTAAATTATTTTTAAAAAAATCCAATCATATTTCAGCCATCACGTGTTGCCAGGGTCACAGAAATCTGCCCTGAACCTTCACAATCAAAAGTGCAGGCCCCTGTAGCTTAAAATGCATTGCAATGAAACTGTTTTTTTTTTTTTTTTTTTAAGTGAAGCAAGTGGACATTTTCATCCCTACAGCGAATTAAAACTTATGCCAGAAACATGACTGGACGGATCTGACTTTCAGTATTAGCCTCCATGGCGTTAAAACAGGACTTATTGTTGAAAGTGAAAGTGAAACACATAGATTACCTGCGCAACAGACTGATTATAAACTCTTCAGAAAACTCTTGAGGAAAGAAAGGAGGATGGATTTTGTGTTCAAATAATCACAAGTTTTGGTGAGTAAAATATATATTTTTGTCATTTTATTGGGTTGCTGTTGATCCTCCTGTTAGATGTGATGTATGTGGTGCAGCTGTGGCTGCAGTTAATGAAGACTTGTTGAATTGTTTTAACTGGGTTTCTTGCTTTCGTGTTGGCATTCATTCTCGCTACATGAGATACCTGTCTGTGGTGCAACGTCCTGCTATGCTACCTTTCTGCATAATACTGATAGTTTCTAAAGCTGTGGCGATATAATGACGCTGTTAAGAGGTGGTTGGATTCAGGTAGGGCGCCACTGAAGGCCTAGGAGTAAAATGCACAGCCCGCCACTGGTATTGTAGAATGTTAATCCTAATATCTAATTTAGTCAGGTCCACTTGTCTTTTATATACAATTGTATGGTCTTCACTTCAATATGTAAACTTGTCATGTAAATACAGTTGTGCCTCGATTATCCGACCCTTAACAATCTGAAAACCTTGCTATCCGACAGGTTTTTAGGAAAAACAAACAGAACCCATGAAAAATAGCTTTAACATACCGACATTTTGTCACCAATAAGGATAATGGTGTATTATCTGACTTAACAATCTGACAGATTGGCTACGTTCAGAGTCCAGGACATAATGCTCAATTTGGATTTTTTTGTGAAATCCAATTTTTTGCGAGTTCGTTCACATTTCCAGTTA